AGATTCCTATTATAATTAGAACCGACAAAAAGTAAAATTACAGAGTTCTTTCAAAAGAATTAAAATATTTTTTCTCCATGGTTTCAAACATAAGGAAAGAACAGTTTGTTGAACGCTTCCTAGTAAGAGCAACAACTTAAGCCAGAAAGTATAAATAACACAGCCCATTTTTCACATGTTGATTAATATGTTATATAGCTAACTATATTTACAAATAACTGTTAGGGATGTTTTACTTGCATAATTAAAAAACAAACGCTTAGTATGGTAAACTGGCAACAATGACAAAGGAACTGTTTAAAAAGACAAAAATTGCCAGTTGAATTTCCGAAATATTATATTGAAAAAAAATGTATGTATACTTTGCAATGCCTCTAAAATTAAGAAGACAGATATCATTTTATTTGATATATTCCTATTTTACTTTTTCAAACAGTTTAAATTTGTATTGTTTTTATTTCACTGGACATATTTTCTCACAAGCTTTGTGAAACATCATCTAGAAAGAAAAGAATTTAGAAACACATGATTGATTATTCAAGTGACTATCAATCATAATGACGTGCTTTTTTTGTCTAAACAAGATATATTTTGTACTGCACAAATTAACCTGCCATCTTCAGAAGTCTTAAGACATAATATTTAACACATTATTCAAACTGTTATGTAATTATCTTCTATAACATCTAATCAATAATTCCTCTCTAGAAGAGAAAGAGCAATTTGTAGCTCATTTGTAAGAAATAGGAGATATTTGTATTACATGTTTACCCGCAAGGACACCCAATAAGTATTGCAAAGGACGACCAATTAGATCTGGTATGCCAGACAGCTTATGTTACTACAACCTTAGTGTCCTTGAACATGTGATCTTCTGACCCTTAAATCAATAAATGTCGTCTACAGGCTATAAGAAAATGTGCCACCTAATTTTAGACAAGATTTCGGAGATCAAAATAATCATGACCTTTGACCTACTGACCTTATTGTCAATTTGACTAATACTGATGTCATTTCAATACTGACATTACCTTGTTAAGACAGATCGATCTTTATAATATATAAATATATAAAATATTTTGATTTCAGCATTCGTATTTTCTTCTGTTATGTTCTCTTCTTGTGGAATTTTACAAAATATTGCTTTAAGTTTTTTACAGAATGGAATTTTGATTTTGGCTAACATATATATCGATGTTATGTTTATTGTATTTTATTACAAAGTAGTGGTAAGTAGAGGTAAACAATTAATGATAGCAGTAAACACACTACCATTTTGTATGTAATAGTCTTTAAACACATGTGACATTTAGACATCACATGACTTCATTCTAGGTATCTAGATATTATGTGATATCCCCAAATTATAAAAGTGTAACCAATAAATTTTCAACTAGACTTTCTTAAGTAAAATTCAAATTCCAAATATGATATATAAGTTAAAGATGAAATGTATAGCTTACTTATGATAAAAACTATATATTTATGTCACCATTAAGGTTTTTTAATAGTAAAAAACAAACAATCAAGAATATGCATTTTGGGCGGCTGTCTATATTGTCAGCTGTTCTTAAAGTTTGTTTACATTCTTGAAGCTGTTGGTGCTACTACTTATCCTGACAGTCCTTTATCTTCAGCTGATAAAATCTCATGAAACAATTTCCATGAGACAATGTCCCGTTGCTTCTGTCAAAATTAAATGAAAGGGGAATTTCGATGTTATCTAAAATATACAAACACTAACTTGTTATTCATTGAAACATGTAAGCACCAGTTAGGGGAAATACTCAAAGATAAGATGTCCTGGACTATATTAAGCATAACTTAAAAACATTTTGAAAAACAAACCTATACAACTTTTTAAAGTCGATATATTAAATAAATAATTATAAAAACAATCTTAATTCCGACAGCGAACAAGTTATGTCAGAATTCATGATATACTTTAACAACGTGAATATTTCTATCTTTCTTTTGGGAAAAATGAGTTTTTTTATATTGTAGATTACTCGATTAAGATGTCTGACTTTCAATAAAATTAAATCATTACTTATTTTCTTAGATGATATATTCACAGTTGCCATGAAGATAATCATAAGAATAACCAACAAGGAAGCTTAATACCTAAATATTTCTTAGCCTCGCCAAGCCAAGAACCCTGGCCTATGTCACACTCATTTTGTTGGTATACATTTTCTCTCAAAAGTTTAATAACATGGTGTTAATTTAAATTTTCTTAATATCCACAGATGTGTTCCTACTTCATCTTTGTAATGGAAATCTCAATATGTCACGTCTATGTCATTCCCTGACAAACGTCGAATAAACCATTAAAAATATATTACATATTAATGTTAACAGATTATTTTCTTGGTGCTCTTGTCGAAACGAACAATGTATCCTTCAACATTACCATTGTGTTTATGTAGCATTTCACACTCTTTTAGAAACAGTTGTAAATGATGTTTTATGAACACTCGCTATACAGTAAATTGTACCGTCGTACTCAAGTAAATGATAAACAAGGTTAGCTTTTAAAAAAGCTAGTAGCGACTCGCTTCGTAATTTCTTTCCAGGGGCGTGTTTAAATGTAAAGATGACAGTTCTGTTAGCTGAAAAGACTTCAGCGAACATCAAAATAAAAGTGACATATAAAGTTAGGGAAGCCAGTTCTCTCAGTTTAACAAAGAGGAATATGAGTCTATATGAAGATGCATGTAAATAGATAGAATAAAGTCCCTATGTCTATGCACATTTACTTTATGGCCTGTTGACCTTGACCAGAAAAAAAGATAAGTAGAATTCATAAAAATGTCTCTTTATACAAAGTTAAGTTGTAATATGTTATTTAGTATTGGAACAAGTGACAGATACAAGTCTTAAAGTAAACACAAGTTGTCAATCAATTCAGCCAGAAAAGCCGGGATCCTATTAAAAAAATGAAAACAAACATTTTAATCATCATTATATCTTTGCGCTCAAAACAATACTTGAGGCTTTTTAAAAATGGCGTGAAAATTGAAGGTTTTTTGACGCTATGTAAGATCAAATTTGATTGGCTAAATTATTTTGGATCTTAGCCCTGATAAATAAATTTTGAAGAAAGCTGGAAGCTAAGCTTCGATTAAATTTTTGGATGGATTCGGAGTTTTAGGTTGTTTCTCAGTAAAATCCTAACGTAATACCGGCTCGCCGTGGCGAGCCGGCAAAACATTTCTAAATATTGATATTGGTTAAACTGTGTGATAAATGATACTATTTCGTTCAATATCTGTATAAAATATACACAGTATATAACATTTCAAACGTGATTAGCAAATCAGTTTTCTCTTGTTGATAGTCTATTAATATTGCGTATAAAATAGCTATAATCATTTTGATACAAAGATGATTATTCGTTGACACAATATTATATTCACACCATTTGCCGAGTTAAAAAGAATAGTATATACGACATGAAATTATAATATGTGTAATAATAGAAGTTCCTATTTACGGGCGAGTGAAATGTAAGGCAGATGCTAATTAATAAGACATCACTTATGAGGGAAACGAAAACAACCAATTTGAAGGCTCCGATGGAGTGCTAAAATGATTGACACATGACATTCAAGGTTAATTTTATCAACTTTAAAATATTTTTGGTACCAATATTTTATTTTTTCCTCTTCTCTTGAAGATGTTATCATTTTGAAACAATTGCATGGACGTTTCTTCTCCACAAAGCCATATTAATTGTAATAAAGAAACATTTGTTTAGGAAAATCATATTTTTGTTCAGTTTTCAAGATAAATGTTTATGAACATTATGTACACCTTTGAAATTTCATTTCATTTTCCATTTTATGATTAAAATGATTCTTTAGCTCTTTTATTTTTCTTTTTTGTTTAAATTTCAAACCCTCGAATTATAAAGAACTGTTTTTGTTACGTACGTGTTAAATAAAGTTTGATTTATTGATGATTAAATTAAAGGAAGGTGATATAAAACAATTTACTGACAAGTACATATTGCGATTTCAATTTTCCCTCTCTGCACTGTTGACTCTTTTAAAAGATTGAAAACTTCTCCATTTTGTTCGAGGTATCTCACGGGCATTAAAAGTGTCATTGATAATGGTTGCTTAGCTTATCTTCATATACTGCCATCTAGTACTGCCTTCAAACAATTTGAAACATCAATACCTGCTGCACCGTTAAGAAAGTCCAAACACATTTTGCCTGACAGATAATCTGACATACCTCAAATATAAAAATGCACAAATAAAACACAAAATGAGACATATATTGTTACAAGCATTATCGTTTCAGTACCTGAATGAATCGAGTAATACCGTATTAGTACTTATTTCTGCGGGCTTAATATTCTATATTCTGCGATTTTTGTTAAAATAAGGGGTTTTAAATTTCTGCGTATCTTATTTCTGCGGTGTCATCATTCTCGCCTTGATGCTTTTTAATTCTGCGTTTTAATTAAGATACTTCTTTTCAAAATTAACCTACACAAACAGACAACATTTTAAGATTTGTTGATATAACATTACTTCCGGTTAACATGCAGACGACTGATTATGTGTTTCGTCGTAATTATCATGTATCGGTATATAAACGTGCAATGATAACAATTTTAATACTCTATATGTATAAATATGAAGTGTGAATAATAAACAATGGCAAAATTGCACGTAAACACAAGATATTGTACAAATACAAAAAGGTATGTTTATTGCACCTGTCAAACTAAAATAATTAGATTTTACAAAAAAAATCAAGCTAAAAGTGAGCGAAAATCATACAATCATAATACTCATTTAAGCAAAGAGAACAAGCAAAGTAACATTTTTTTCTTATATTTTATTCACGACAGATACATAAGAAAAAATCCCATTTACAAAAGCTGATAACGGTGAATGGTAATGTAATTATACAATACCGGTAGTTGACATATTCCGACATATACATACAGAGCTTAATTTTCTGCGGTTTTTGTATTCGCTGCGTTAGCAGTGAATACAGTTCTATCACAATTTGCGGGATTTCAATACAAGAATGGGTACCTAACAACGCAAAGTAGTTCTACACAGATTTTCTTGTCACACACAAGTGATAAGATTTTGAATTGTCAGTAGTTCATTTTTGATTGTGTTATTTCTATCGTATATTATTTGCATGTTTTCAGGATATAATCAGTAAAAAATATCATTAGTATTCATTCGCGTTAACTTTGAGTAAGGAAGTAGTTCGTACCAAAACAAAGTTTTCGACGCTATTATTGTATGTGAAAGCTGATCTCATCATTTTCTAAAAGTAGGTACAGAAAACTTACCAATATTATTTGAACTTAATGTAATCTGTTTTGGAATTCTTATTTGGATTTCATGATGTGTAACAGTGTTGATAATTCAGGTGTCTTGATATATTTTTTTGTTGTTTGAGTTGTTTCCCTTGGTTTCCCGCAATATCATTAGTTTTGTCTATGTTTAAGCGGCTTTGTTTGTAAAAAGTTCAAAGTGTTCTTAATTTATTGGAAATATGGATTATTGATAGTTGGTCAGTATTATTTTGAGTTGCATTTGGTTTAAATTAGTGCTTTATAGAGTGTATGTCATAGATGATTTTTTAATTAAGTAATGAGTGTTGTCTGATTTGAAATGTCATCAGTTTTCGTGATTTGGAACCTTTGAGAATTGTTTTCAGAAAAATCCGTTAATCTAGCTCTCTGTTTACTTAATCTCACATTTTATTCATATCACTTTGCACATTGTGTTTATTATATTTTGCAGAAGTTACAGCAGAGAGAGAGTTTGACAGTATGCGTGTTTGAAGAAGATAATGCTATTATTGGTACATTCAATTCCACGAACTGGTGAGTTTAGAATTTATCTATGAATATGATGTATTTTATAATAACTTCATTAAATGAACTTATGATTGTGGCGGCCATTAGAAAGCATATAGCTATATTATATGTTAATATACCTACAGGTTAAGTAAGCTGTTCAATGTGTTGTAAATATTTAATACACCGATAAACACTTTCAGAACTAGCAGACGAGAGGCTTTTCTTATCAGTAGTTTTAGGAATAAAGATAACCGGTTGTTTTCTCACTGTATAAATCGTATGTAAAATGGTCTGACATGTGGTAGGTTTAACTGTTCATTTGAATACTTTGTGGAGTCAAAAGATGTGTTGAAGAATATATTATACTGTGACGAAGCTAAGATCCAACGTTTGCTATTGGTGTAATACATTTTAAAATCGGACATTTAATCAGAACAAACTAGCGGTTTTGTTTAAGCATAAGAGATATCAATTTTACTCGAAGATAAGGGAGGCAACTCGTATTTTTTCACTCGATACACCTCGGTTATTTACGTAGATCATATAGAAAGTGTTAATTAATGGGTTTATTGTAATTGACCATAAATTTGGAGGTTTTTATTTAAATGATAATAATGCATTTCAGACATAGGAAATTGATTTAACTCTATTTTTATGTTGATGTAATTTGTTTAATTTCAGAGTGTTGATTTCCTCGATTTCATTGACTCGATGATTCATTCTCTGATTGATGATTGTTGATTGAATGTTCTAATGATCAATCAACTTATTGATTTACTGATTGATTGGACATGTCATGGAGCTTAATATAGATGGAAAAGTAACTTAGACGTCATACAGTTAAATTCAGTATTATTGGGGTTGTTCTAACGCAAGTTATCATGTGTTTCGGGATTTTCCAAGATTTGATGCATCCTGGGTAATAGTAGCCAAAATACCGCCATATTGAATTCCAAGAGGAACATTGACAAAAAAAGACGAAGCATTTTCTACTTACATAAGAAGCAATAGTTATTTTTATGTTAAAACGTACCATACACACTTTTCCACACAGATATTTCTCAAAAAAAAAAAAACAATGTCGGCAATGTAAACAGTAGTTCATGGATATCGCCGAAGTTTAACGAGAGTGCGAGAATCGGGGACTAGTGGGAAAACCCGATTATCACCGAAGCGCACTGTGGATCTGAATCTGACTATCAACTATTTTCTGAGCTTCCTATCCATTGTATATATATCTGTGGACATGTAAGACGAATATATGTGAACTGTAAGATGTTGAAATGTGCAAAGTTGTTTGTTTAGAAGAGAAATACACAATTTTTGGAGAAACTTTTTGTTTGAATGATCAAGGTGTAAACACTTTTTGTAATTGAACATCAGGTTACCATTTTCATAGTAATGGCAGGGCTTCCATTAATGGAAGTTTGGGAGTCATTTCACTCCTTGAATTTGGCTTGTGACTTCCAAAATGTAATGCTTTTTTCTTCTTTACCAATATTTTGTGACTTCCAATGTCAAGACATTTTGCAGTCTTTGACTTCCAAATTTTGGATCTTAATGGAAGCCCTGAATGCCAATGGACCTACATGTTTCACCTAAATTGTATTGGAAATATGTGAAAAACTTCCTTTTAAAAAGTTTCTAGCTGAAGTTAAGCAGAGAAATGCATTGGATACCTCAGAATATTGCTATGTTGTTAAAAAATGTCCAAGCCTTATGGTCACATATTCATGGAAAAATTCAAAGAAAGGAAAATAGATTGCCAGGTGTATAGATTTCCAGTCTGCTTATCATTTACATACAATCTGGAAAACTTCAGTAGTGTCACTGGGGTCAAAATTAACCTGTCTAATGGTAATGTTGTAAAAAGTTCTATTTTTTTGTTTAAAGCATAAAGTTTAATGTATATATGTATTATAATAGAAATTAGATATATGTATGGATATTTTGTGTAAACCAACATGTGAAAACCCTGGAACATCATTGCTAAAGCAATATTGTTAGGTACAATACCATACATTTAATAGGCAAGAAAGGTACGGTAATAATATTATTTACTATAGATTTAGAATGCAAGAAAAGATAAAATATCATTCCTCGCTTCTTAGTACAAAAAGTGCCATATCACTTTTATATTTATATTAATGTTTACTGCATAAAACACTTTCTTACTTTTCATTTTTAGCTAGACTATACAAAGTATAGGAGAGCCGTCCTACTTGCCCAAGCGTCCGCGTCCTTATTCAGATTAAAGTTTTGGTTTTCCATATCATCAACCACATCTTATGTGACAAGGTTCATAACTCTAGCACCACTATTTTCAGATTTATCTCCCCTTGAACTTAGAATTTTCCTTAAAAAATATTATTTTCTATCGTTACTTCCTTATTTCTTAAGGGATCAACTTCATACTTCAAATATATGTTCCTTATCATCAACCACATCTTATGTGACAAGGTTCATAGTTTAGCGCGGAGGAAGGTAGTCTAGTACTGGTTTAACTCTCCAGGAACGATGGTTAGGAAACTACCCGCCTATATGACTGAAATACTGTTGGAAAAAGGCGTAAAATGAAACAAACAAACAAACAAACTCTAGCACCAATATTTTCAAATTTATCTCCTCTTGAAGATAGAATTTTCCTAAAAAAAGTTATTTTTTAGCTCGACTATTCGATAAGAATAAGTAGAGCTATTGTAGTCACCAGTGCGTCAGTGTTGGTGTCGGCGTCTGTGTCAGCGTAGGTGTAATAACTTATGTTAAAGTTTTTGTAATACCTCAAATATTTTCAAAGTCCATTGATATATGGCTTTGAAACTTTGCACACTTGTTCACCATCATGACCCCAACTTGTAGACAGGAGGAGATAACTGGATCAAGCATTTTGACAGAATTATGCCCCTTTTCTGACTTAGATTTTATGTTATTTAATTTTGTTTGCATACCACCTCAGATATTTTCATATACTATTGACATCTGGCTAGGAACAAGTTGAAATTTTATACTCTCCTTTGAGAGCATAATAGAACTCTCTTCAAGGCCTATAACAGTAACATGGATTTAAAGGAAAATTTGGCCCTATAACAGTAACATGGATTTAAAGGAAAATTTGGCCCTTTTGTTAACATTTTACATTATCAAGGCTCTTTTTCTATCAAGCACTTAGAATGGTAGAGCGTTGCTGTCCTACCGACAGCTATTATTTACTGTTACTTATTTATTTCTTAAGGGATCAACTTCATATTTCAAATATATGTTTCTTATCATTAACCAAATGTTATGTGACAAGGTTGTTAACGCTAGCACCAATATTGCAAGAATTACCTCCCCATGAACTTAGATTTTTTTTACTTGAAAAATATTATTTTTTACTATGACTTCTTTAGTTTCAAAGGCATCTACCTCTTACTTCAAATACATATTCCTTATCATCAATTACATCTTATGTGACTAGGTTCATAACTCTTAAAGCAATATTTTCAGGTTAATATCCCTTTGAAATTAGGATTTTTTTTAAAGAAATATTATAAGTAATTTAATTTACTTTTTAGCTCACCTGAGCAATGCTCAGGGTGAGCTATTGTGATGGCCCTGTGTCCGTCGTCCGTCGTCAACTTTTAACATAAACAACATCTCCTCTGAAACCAATGACTGCACATCAACCAAACTTTACAGAAATGATCCTTGGGTGGTCCCCTTTCAAAGTTGTTCAAATGGTTCCGGTCTGTTGCATATGTAGGTCATAGGGCCAGAAAAGGATTTCAAAAAACACAAAATTAAAAAATCTTCTTGTCTGAAAGTACATGGGCCAGAGCTTTGATTTTTGGTATATGGTATCATCTATGAGTCCTCTACCAAAGTTGTTCAAATTTTGTCCCTAGTGTCAAAATTGGCCCCGCCCCGGGGGGTCATAGGTTTTTCCTTATATGTATATAGTAAAATCTAAAAAAATCTTCTCTGATTTGGCAAAGGCTACAGATTAGATATTTGGCATGAAACATTGTGTAGTAGACCTCTATCAAGATTGTTCAAATAATGGCCCTAGGGTCAAAATTGGCCCCGCCCCGGGGGGTCATTGATTTTCATTACATATATATAGTGAAAACTTGAAAAATCTTCTGGTCTGAAAGTAAATGGCCTAGAGCTTCTTTATTTGGTCTATGGTATATTCTGAAGGTCCAATACCAAAGTTGTACAAATTTTTTCCCTAGTGTCAAAATTGCCCCCCCCCCCTCGGGGGGTCATAGGTTTTTCTAAAATGTATAAAGTAAAACATAAAAAAATCTTCTTCTCTAAATTGGCAAAGGCTACAGGTAAGATATTTGGCATGAAACATTGTGTGGTAGACCTCTACCAAGATTGTTCAAATAATGGCCCTCAGGTCAAAATTGGCCCCGCCCTCGGGGGTCATTGATTTTCATTATATACATATAGTGAAAACTTGAAAAGTCTTCTGGTCTGAAAGTAAATGGCCTAGAGCTTTGATATTTGGTCTATGGTATCATCTATAGGTCCAAAACCAAACTTGTTCAAATTTTGTTCCTAGAATTAAAATCGGCCCCGCCCTGGGGGGTCATTGATTTTCCCTATATGTATATAGTAAAAACTTAAAAAATCTTCTTTTAAAGAACCCAAAGAGCTAGAGCTAAGATATTTAGCATGAAACATCTTCTAATGGGTGTCTACCAAGTTTGTTCAAATAAAAGCCCTGGGGTCAAAATTGGCCCCGCCCCAGGGGGTCATTGATTTTCCCTATATGCATATAGTAAAAAGTTAAAAAAATTTCTTTTAAAGAATGCAAAGAGCTAGAGCTAAGATATTTAGCATGAAACATGTTCTAATAGATGTCTACCAAGTTCGTTCAAATAAGAGCCCTGGGGTCAAAATTGGCCCCGCCCGGGGGTCATTCATTTTCCTTATATGCATATAACAAAAACTTAAAAGATCTTTTTTGAAAAAAAAAAACAAATAGCTAGAGTTTAGATACTAAGCATGAAACATCTTCTAGTGAGTGTCTTCCAAGTTTGTTCAAATAAAAGCCCTGGGGTCAAAATTGGCCCCGCCCCGGGGTCATTCATTTTCCTTATATGTGTATAGCAAAAACTTAAAAATCTTCTTCGAAAAAACCTGAATAGCTAGAGTTTAGATATTAAGCATGAAACATTGTCTAGTAAGTGTCTACAAAGATTGTTCAAATAAAAGCCCTGGATCAAAACTGGTCCTGCCCCAGGTGTGTCATTGTTTTTAACTATATGTGTAAAGAAAAAAACTTGAAAAAATCTTCTTTTAAAAAACCCAACAAGCTAGACCTTAGATGTTTAGCATGAAACATCTTCTAATGGGTGTCAACCAAGTTTGTTCAAATAAAAGCCCTGGGGTTTAAACTGGCCCCGCTCCGGGGGCCTATATACAGGTTAGCGACTTTGGGCCATCATGGCCCTCTTGTTTATATTTCTTATCATTACACATATGTTGTGTGACAAGCATGACTATTTCCAGAATAACCCCCCCCACCTTGAACTTATTTATGGAATTTATGTAAACAAATGTTCATAGTTTCATAGTTTTGTCTTCCATACCAACTTATCTCAGCCTCTTGATATTTGGTATACAGTATTGACGTGGTCCCATACCGTCGGATTTGATTTCAGGTCTGTCGCTCACCACGCCCTGTTTACCGGTAAATTTTCAACATTAATGGTCAATGGTAGGAAATTTTTGTAACAGTTTTTTTTAGCAACTACTTATCACAGGCTCTTGATATTTGACAAACAGCATTGACACATGGTCTCATACTGTGGGATTCTATTTCAAGTCTTTCACTCATCCACTTCCTGTTAACTGAAGTTAAATTTTCCACATTAATGGTCAGTGGTTAATTTTTTTCAAAACATTACAGCATCATGATATTTGGTATAGAAATGCAGCCCGGCCTTTTCTGTCTTTGACCCATTTTTTTTTTTTTTTTTCAATTTTGAAATCATTCATTTATTATTGTTGAAATCTACTTATAATACCTTTAAAATACCATGTTCCCAGTACTTTTTATTTACATGCTTAAGTTGTTCTTAACATACGCAAAACAAACTTGTACATTCCTTTATTAGAAATTGTCTTTTTTTTATATAACCAGGCACAAGTGACAAGATAATATTTATTTATATGCTTTTATCATTGTGGACACAAATTGTAAACAAAGGTATCATTTTTGATTCTAGTCAAAGTAAAAACAAACAGTGATTGCACTAGAGTTATATCAGAAAGTTTGTGGGAGCTTTACATGCTCATAACATTTCTATCTTTGTCAGAGAAATATTTGATTTCTGAGAACTATTTTGACTTCAATTTCCAAAGAAACATGAAACTACACCCCAAATTTAAATGCATAATAACTATTACATTTGTTTGACTTAACTGTTTCTTATGGTCAATAGTGTTACATGTATACACTTTTTTATGTTCATTTTACATTTGTTTGTTTTTCTATCATTTCAATCCATTGTCTTAATCATTATATAACTTGATTATACCTTAATTATGTAGCATTGTTTTTAGATTTACATTGTATTTGCAATTTTGTGAACATTTATCAGTAAGTAATATTCTTAATAAAAGAAATTTCACAATTGATATGAAGTACCAAGCCATTTTTAGAGTGTGTTTCCGATTTATGAAAATGTTTTTTACAAATGACTTAAAATTGAGCAATCACCATACTTTCTAGCATAAGAATCTTAAAATAGAATTACTTAAATTGCAAGCAAGTTGCAATTTTATACATGAGATAAACTTATCGTGACCAAATTTGTTTTTCATGTTAGCAAGTTCTGTATATATGCTTTAATTAGAAAAGAACACTGATTATGTATGAAGTAACTGAAATATTGAAAGATTTATAATAGAATGTTTGTCATGCAACATTAAATTGTGTAAGATTCAGACTATTAGATAAGGCGATGTACTTATTAATGCTGTTATAATTACATGTATTATTATTGTGAGTAAAAAGGTTCTGGGGATATTTCTATCATGTTTTAACCAGGGGCATAGATAATATACATTGTTTACTTTTATATCAATATTGCAATTGGTTTTAAAGCTGTGTTTTCTTAAATATGGATATTATTGAATCATCCTTGACATCAGTATTCTCATTTTTTAGCTCACATTAGCAAAAGCTCAGCTATTACAGACAGTCAAAGATTCCTGGTCTGTCCGTCATCCATATTTCAATAATGTCATATTAAACTACTCAGTTTGAAAACATCAACAATTCTCATTTACTGTGTCAACAATTCTCATTTACTGTGTGCAAGAACGCTTTAAATTAATTTGGTATTTTGCATGATAAGGTCACAGTAGGTAAAAAAAGATTAGATATTACAACCATCCTTTTCTCTTATTGTCCCATTTTGCTTGTTTTGCATTATTAAAGCCATTTCCTCATGCTCCCATTCCATTTGTAATGTTTCTTTGCAAAAAAGTAAATAACAGAATTTTAAAATTTATTTTGACTGTTACAGGCTAATTAAAAATATAATACGCAAACTATTAAAAGTACTTTTTTTGTATTTTTTTAATCTCAGAAATTTTTAAAATTAAAGTATTTTACAAAAATACCTATATTTTCTTCTTAAATTTTATGAAATTAACATGTTCCAAGTTTCACTTTTCATCATGTGAAAAACTGAAATGCTTTAGCTAGGTAATCTGTCTGTCATTACATTTGAAGCTTATGTAGCAATATAGTATTCTAGGTATTGTTACTGTATATATATTCATTATAACATAATTCTCTCATCATGTTAAGGATCTAGTCATGAATGTACTGCATGCATTCATATTTTGGATGTATATTTTATTGTACCACTTAGATAATGTAATAAAGTTGTTCTCATTTAGTTTATTCTTACTTCTTTCCCTCT